GTAAATTAATAAAAGGTTTTTTTGTCAGGACAAGGAGTTTGTTTCATGCTCTTGGGAAGCCTCGGTCAGAACATAACTACTAACCAGATGTGTTCTACAACACCTTCTATAGCTCAAGAGAGTACTGGGTGTGTGCCCAAACACCTACATGGTGATAACAGATCTTTAATGTAGATTCATTTACAACTCACCCTCTTGAGCCTACATTATCAAGTCTAATTCTCTTCTATCCCTCCCCTTTTAGAATCCCCAGCTAGCATAGAAGAACTAGGAATTGGAGTCCGTACTTATTCACAGAACACTGGGGAGGAGGAAAGCTGTTTTACTTCATACTCTGTTTCTTTGCAGATTGACCATGATCCACGGATGCCAGCATACATTGCAACGCAAGGTCCATTGTCCCACACCATTGCTGATTTTTGGCAGGTAAGAGGGCCGTGGGGAGGTTTATTCTAAAGGGATTGCATTCCTATGCTGCCTGATAGGGTATTTGGACTGAAATTTGGCTTTTTTTCCCAAAGGCAACTGGACTTTGTTTTTCCTTGAAGATGTTTTGCTTCTCATCCAAGAAGCTTCAGAACAATGTCCAGTTGTCTTTTGAAAAAAGCACCTTTGGGAGAACAATGACTTGGATGACTGAGAATCTCCATAGACATTTGGACTGATATTTCTTTGGCACAGGGGGCGTTCTATAATCCCTGACAATATATTCAAAGCCTTTAGAAGAGAGGCAGATAGACGATAGAGAGCATAGAGTCCCTCTTCCCATTCTGAAACAAGGGCAGGTTTGTGTGCCATATCAATATCTCCAGTGGCAAACACCTCAAAGCATGAATGTATAAATATACAGTTTTATTTGAATTATGTTATGAATGAATAACAAGCAAGGCATCAGAAAGATAGATTGTCACACTTGATGCTGAGAAGCTGCTGAGTTCCTCTCTTCCTACTTAGAATTTCATTAAATCTTGTTGTTGTTAGTTGTGAAGTCATGTCCAACCCATCGCGATCCGATGGACAATGCTCCTCCAGGACTTCCTGTCCTCTACCATTCCCCAGAGTCCATTTAAGCTCACACCGACTGCTTCAGTGTCTCCATCCAGCCACCTCATTCTCTGTCGTCACAATCTTTCCCAGCATTAGGCTCTTCTCTAGTGAGTCCTCCTTTATTAGGCCTACCCAATACTCTAGTGAGTCCTTCTCTATTACCCAATACATTTCCACGCTGACTTTGCAGCCCAGGCAAATTTAAATGTCTGTGTTTGCTTTGTTTTAATTGGAGGCAGAGACATTCCATGAACTAGTCTCTTCACATTCTCCCCATTTGCCTCTTTTCACATGAGGGATGGCATTTGTATTTCTTTCAATGTGGAGAAGTCGGAATGTACAGTATTATAATTGCTGAATCTCCTGCCTATCCCGTCTATGTAGATGGTATGGGAAAATGGTTGCACGGTCATTGTCATGCTCACCCCACTCGTGGAAGATGGCGTCAAGCAATGTGACCGCTATTGGCCCGATGAGGGATCCTCACTTTACCACATCTATGAGGTAAGGCTGACCAATTATGTCTTTGGAATGCTGAGCAAAAAGTGGCAAGTGTTGTTCCTCTTCCGCTGTGAGGAAGTCACTGAGGGTCATAGCTGAGGTGGCAATGATGTCCTTTTCTGATGCATCCCTAAGCAATGTGAGCATTCTGCAGTTGGGCTAAACACAGCTGGGTGTGCAAATTAAACTCCTGTGGAAGATTAATGAAATCTCCTCATTCTTGTGAATACTTTATTTTCAGGCAGTCCACAAAAAAACATGGAAATATCCTTTCTTTCTCTTTCTCCCTGGGCCCCTCAGCCATCTATGCAAACTGTGAAGCTTTCCTGAGCAATACAGTGTTGGGAGCCGGAAGTGGGATAATGTATCGAATTGTGAAAGTGCTACTCGTGATATGAAGAAAGCAGGACAATGTTTATAATATTTGACATTATGTGATTATCGAATCGCAGTGACTGGAATTCCCATTCTGTAGACGAGGGGGATTGATTCAAAATGGCACACTGAATGGCCCACCACTAATTGAAAGACAGCATCTGGATAATGATATAGATAAGCCATAGTGAATTCTGATTGTGGGCAGCAAAATTATGGGCACATGTTGCATCTATTTTGCTCTATTTTGCTTATGAAAAGAAAGGCAGAAAAAGGCATTTTAACAGACCCAATACATTATCAAGTATTTAGAGGAAAACAGGAAAAGAAGTTGGGGAATTAATAGGTTGTATATAAATGGCAGGACTTATTATGTAAAGGAGACTGCTGGCTGCAAGTATCCCATGCTGCTTCTCTCCCTTTCAAAATCCTGCTATCTCCATTCAGGTGAACCTTGTCTCAGAGCACATCTGGTGCGAGGATTTCCTGGTGCGCAGTTTCTACTTGAAGAATGTGCAGTCACAGGAGACACGGACTCTAACGCAATTTCACTTCCTGAGCTGGCCAGCAGAGGGCATCCCTACCACCACTAGGCCTCTTCTTGACTTCCGCAGGTAGGGAATATTGTCTTCCTATTGGGAACTGAGGGCGGGGGACATGATTTGTGGGGGGGATTTGGCTGAGTTTCAGAAGATACTCCAGACCTCATCACTTATTTCCTTTTGCAAAACAGTCAGGGAAAGGGTCCTGGGCAGTATTAGGAGTCTTGCTATAAAATGAAAGCGGGCTGCAGAGACAGAAAATCCAAGGGTTGGCACACAATAGGCAGCAATGAGGCCTGTGTATTCTGACTAATTGAAAACAAGTAACCAGGAAGTAACTGCCAACCTAGCAGTTCGAAAGCACGTAAAAAATGCAAGTAGAAAAATAGGACCACTTTTGGAGGGAAGGTAACAGTGTTTTATGCGCCTTCAGCGTTTAGTCATACGGCAGCCCGCCATATGACCACAGAGACATCTTCAGACAGTACTGGCTCTTCGGCTTTGAAACAAAGATGAGCACCACCCCCTAGAGTCGGGAACAATTAGCACATATGTGTGAAGGGAACCTTTACCTTTAACCAGGAAAAGAAGCTGAGTCCTTTCTTTTGAGGCAGGCATGATTCACTGAGCTTTGGAAAGAGTATGGTGATATGGATTTGGGGCTCTCTTCACCTAATATAAGGTGAAGGTTTGTTCCCTCCGCGCCCACAATATTACCATAGTTTGATGCTTATTTTGCTTCACACACACACACCCTCTATCGCTTGCTTCCCAGAGACCTCCATCAAAGGCCCTTTTAGAAATCTTTCTAGAGCCATGAAAGACCTCACTCCCATCGCTGACGTCTCATTCAATCACAGATTGCCATGGAAGCTCTGCTTGGGATTTCCTTTTAACTATCAGCAGCTGAAACAATAACCTGATCTTGCTGTAAAAAAAAAGGCTTTTGAGTAGCTGGGCACTAGTTCTGCTGGAAGCCCCTGCAATAGCTAGGACATTTAGGCCCTCTGAGAACTATGCATATTGCGGTTCATTCAGTTCTGCTTGGAAGTGGCAATTGCTGTAGAGCTGAGCAAAATCCAGCCTGGAGCCCTACAGGCTGGATAAATGTATGGCCCCCATGCTAGGGAGATGGAGGTAGAGGATAAAGCTGGTGCTGTTGTTGCTTTTCACAGATGAAGAACTTTTCACTACTCAGTTGTATAGTGTTTACACTACTGCTGTTACACATCACAAAGCACCATACTAAACAAAGGCACTACATAATAAGACTCAGTAACACAACTGAAAGTGCTCTATGTGATGTAGGATGCTATACCACCACAATAATATAACCTCAGAAAAATCTTCATATGGGGAGGCATAATTTGAACGTTATTTAAAAGATTCTGAGGACAGGGAACAGTAAGGTAGAGATAGTAGGTTGCAATACCATTCCTGCAAGATCAATAAAGTAGCAATAGTTCTCCCAATTGCTCCAGAAACCTCAGATTATGCTAACTTTGAAAAACATACAAAAGAAGCTGAAAAAAACATGATCAGGAATCAGAGAATTGGTTTATCCTTTTTTTTTTTAACCTAGAACAAAATGATGGCGTGATTGGTCTCTCATTAATTTCCTGTTTTCAACACTATTCTAATCTCTTTTATTCCCTATCTTGTCCTTTCCAGGTACTCTCATAAGCTCCTTCTCTTCTTGGATTCACCTGTTCCCCCCCTCCCCCCTCTGCCAGCAATTGGCTCAGTACCTATGTAGGGGGGAGTTGGGATTGGGTGAGGTTTAGGGTTGTTCTGTCAGGCAGCGGTTAAAAGAAGAACTCTGGAACATAACGTCACATCTGTGCATTGCGACGCTTAAAAATGTGCCGTTCTGTGTGTATGTGACTTCCAAGACTTGGAAATCAATGGGCAGGCAAGGACCTCACGGCATGGAGGTAGAACGCCGCCTCCTGAGCATTTGAGGAGTCCAGGACACATACTCGGCAAATTAAAACCAGAGGATCTTCATTTAACTCCTGTTTATCGCTCTTGGTACCTCTTCCTCTTAAGTCTTGGTTTGTGGAACATACACTATGGAGCAGTCTTAGGTCTTTCTGACTGCATTGTACCATGCTCTCTCCCTTTCTCCACCTCTCCTCCTCCTCTTCCTCTCTCTTTCCTCTCTTCCTCACAGCTGCCAGTGTCATTTTTGTGATTTGCAGCTAGTAATCCTGGCCCAGTTGCATAGTCACAAAAGTGATCATTGGCTGCTGTGCCAGCGGCATGGAACAGGAGAGAACCTGGGTTGCTGTTGTGTCCATTACCTGCTCTCTTGTCCTACTGGGCCTAAAGGGGAGAGCCTGGTACTCTCCCCTTATACAGATTTTCACTGGATAATAGTTAGGGATGAATGAAGGTTCAAAGCCATAGAGCAAGGGGTACCCTGAAAGCCTTAAATGGGTTTGTGTGGGCAAAGAATCCTTAAGACTCCACCAACCCAGCTGTCAATCTCTATAAAAGTGGAGTTGGTTGATTGCTCTTATAACCTACAAATCAGCAGCATGGGTATTTCAAAAACATGCATATATTTCCAGCTATTCACTGCTTATTTGGATGGTAGGTCTACAAATCACTCAAAAGACCATCTTTGAATCTGAAATTGGCATGCTGCACCAGAATTTAAGTATTTCTACATCACAGTGCCTAAAAGATGTCGCAACACTTGAACAATGTACAGTAGAACTAAGCCTCCCTTTCTCATCCTAGACCCCACTGTCCTAGAATAACCAGCAGCCAAACAACTTAAATATCACTTTCAAATATTTTTTTAGAGCTCCATTTAATATCTATCATATGACTTGATATGGGTGAACGGACAATAGCCAGGGAATACACCTGAGTAGGTAAAGAATTGTTTCAGCCTGCTAGCAGAGAACACAATAGAAATATAGGGTGTATGGTATCAGCAGAGTCACCCGGGGGTGAGCCGAATGTTCTGTCAGAGAATGTTCTGACTTCACAATGGGCCCTTCTGGTCTTGGAACAAGCAATGTTGAGCATTCTGGAAGTGATTCAACTGTAAAAGGTTTTACATACGCCTGATTACACCCACTGAGCTTTTAGATATTCTGACAGCCTGCGGAGTAGTCCACAAATAAATCATTAGCACCGTCATCAGCACTCTGATATTGAAATGGAACACCACTCACTTAAATTGTGTTCATAATAAAGAAAACATTTAGCGAATTTCATGCCAACAACCTCACTGGTCTTCTGAACAATTTGTATGTATTAGTTTTTACTTGTTACATACTGTATGTTAGGAGGAATGGTGAATAAACCTCTTCCAAAATAATTACATCATGTTTTGCGCACACAAAAAGTGCAATAAGCTGTCATCTATTAGATTAAATCCTTTCTGATGCATGCATTTGTAGTCCATTCAATAGGGAAGTTCTTAGCTCTTCCTCCAAAGGCCTCCATTCAGCCCAGCTCCAGGGAAACAGGTTTAGTTCAGATCTGAATTGTGAGAACATTATGAAAATCAGATAGAATTATTCACCCAGGCAGTCTTCCATTAAAGAAAGCTTTTAATAAGACACAGTCAAACCTTTTCATCAAAGAAGCCAACTCTCCAGATAGGAAAAGGAGGTTATTTAGGGCGAGGGAGTACAGGAAAAAATAAGGGAAACAAGCAGCCAGATAACCAAATTCCAGCTAAAATAAAATAGGTTTCTGTTTGAATGTCATTTGGCAGGTTTTTCTTCTTTGCCTCTTTTGCCTTCCAATATTATAGAACGTGGAGGGTTTGTTTGGAACATGGACCAATACAACAGTTAAACCAAGATAAATATTCCACGGGTTAACACCTCCCCACCCTGTGGAAGGCATTGTCAGGTTTCACTAGTTAGGCTATTGAATGGAAAAGATTAAACATATCAGATTTCAGGGAAATAATGGATGACTTCTGTCTTTTTAGACTTTTTGGTATGAAGTCAGTTTGCTGAATTATTTAGGGGACATTATGGTGCCCTGCCCCAAAATAGGAATTTATAACAAAAGATGATTGGTGGATAGAATGACAGGTGGACCAAGTAACACTGTATTTTACTGTAGATTGTGTCATTTAGTACAGGAGCAAATTACACATTGATAGTCAAGAGCAATATTTTCTTTCTAATATGATTGGTAACCAAAGCCTGCAAACAAGATGTAACATAATGGTATCATCATAAGGGAAGGGATCCGTATCATCAACCTTTTCTCTCCACTAGATAGTCATACAAAGAAGCACACACATATTTTTCCTATGAATGTTTTGTTTTCCTTCGAGAATGAATGGGAAGTCACAAATCCATTCGTCTTGTTGACAAATTTCAGAGGGTTCATAAAAATAAGATTGGCTCACCACAGATTATTTACTCTTGATTCAGTTAACAATTTGGCATTTTCAAGTATTTCCAATGCGTAAAACAAAAATGGGTGCCTGTGTGATTAAACTCAACTGAAAATCCACACTTAGTTTAGTTGGAAATAAACTGAACACTAGTATATGGTATATTTTGCCTTAGTTCCTGAGCCTCCTGTTGGATTTCATCCCTACACATAATTTGGCCATTTTAGGTATTGTTACGGTTGCTCTAGGTAATGCGTGAATGTTTTCCAGGTGATTTTATAATGTTCCACACACATGCAATTTTCATGTTAGATTGCAACCTACCAGCTGTAAGTGAAATACTATTCATCTCCTGAATGTTTTCCTTGATGCTTGTTCCTGCTTGGTTGTTCAGGGATAAAAGGGGGTGACTTAATCCACATGACTTCTCCCTGAGAGTTCATCTATCTGATCCCATCCTTTCATTATTCCGGCAGGAAGGTGAACAAATGCTACCGGGGACGCTCATGTCCAATCGTCGTGCACTGCAGGTAATGACCTGGTCAGGGGGAATAATGGGGGAGAGCAACTAGGAGAAACTGAAGAGGATTGAACAAATGTCATGAGAAAATAAATGCTCCCCTTTGGTGGCCTTTTCAAGCGGACAAGGAATGTGAGATCTTTTGCCAGGGGTGTGTGACAAGAATATGAGTACATGAGAGTATGAGAGTTGGGAGCTAATGCATTCAAATAAATAAGTTATGAAAATCAGTGTGGCAAAGCAGGACAAAGAGCCAGCATCTTGTCCCTTATAACCAAGGCATTCCACAAGTTCAAAAATCTGGTTGGGAAAAGGATAGCAGGTTAACCTGCCATTCAGATTCATAGACCTCCTTCCAAGAACTAAATAGCACTGTCAAAACTGAAGGCTGATCATTGATGTTACAGCAGATCAGAAGATTTCTGTGAGCCAGACCTTCCTCACATTGAACAGTGAACATTATGTACCCTGCTGCTGTTTGAAGCCACAAGTGTGTTTCCTTATCTTTTACAGTGATGGCGCAGGAAGGACTGGAACATACATTCTTATTGACATGGTTTTAAACCGAATGGCAAAAGGTGAGACGGTGGAAGGAAGAGACTTACATAAACCCATTTTCTGCAAATAGTCTGTCAATTCAACATAAGAAAATCCAGTCTGGTGCAGCAGGCAAATGTCCTAGCTAGTGTTCCCATAGCAACAGGCCTTAGAGGAATCTGAAGCGAAATTACTAATTCCTGCTGTTGATAGCCGTATCCTGCCTTCTTAAAGCTACTCCAGTTAATGGAGTTACTGCATCCTGCTGTAGTGGATAGTTTAACTATGTAAAGAAATGTTTCTATTTACTTATCCACTCATTACTTAACTTCAGTTCAGTGATGACCCCAGATTCTAGTTATTATAAGAGTCAAAAAGCTTTCCCTCTGTATTTTCCTTCACATAATATATGTATGTATGTTTCCATCATACTTTCCATTTTTCTAAGCTTAAAATCTTCCTTTACTGACATCATAAATACAGTATATTACTCCAGAGCTTTCTTTTCTCTCAGTCATCCTGAATAATCTGTTATTTAAAAATGTACAACCTCACTGCTTATTATTTTACATTTGGTTATTTAAGATTAACCAATCGGCATGAACTCCACCCTAGATCCTTTGAGATCCTTGAATCACAAAGACTGGTCATTATTCTTAGTCTATGTTTATGTTGCACGCCCAGTTGCTCATCCATAACTGACCATCCCCTTATTCTTTAATTGCTAGTGAGGAATATTAGCAAAAATCAAAAATGAAAAGTCAACATTTGAAAATTCAATTAATAACTTTTTCCTCCCTATTTATATACACTGTGAAAGAACTCTCAAATAATATTTTATTTAATAATGCATACTATCAAACAGATGTTCGGTTGGATTAGGGTTTGGGTAGCTATGCAAAACATTTCTGAATCCTCTTAAATTCTTTTTAATACCAAGCATTAGTCATATAAAGTCTAAAACATTCATAATACTATGTTCTAATGCCTCAGTAGAGGTATTATTTTGACAAGAAAAGATTACATTCCCATTAATTGATTCTATGTCCAGTTAGCCACACAATGAATGTCTCAGTGAAAATTTTGGCCCTTCAAAATCTGGCTTTTTTAATTTGACAGAATTAGAAAATTGTCATACTGCATGGAAAATATTACTGTATTCATATTTCATGAATTTAATCATTTTTCTTAACTCCATCCCTTTTTGCAGCTCCTGATGTACTATTTAAGGTCAAATCCAAACTCTCAACCCAAAGAAAATTGTACAACCTTAATTTAGGATATTCAGCAATACAACTTGTCACAATCAGAATAGCTTTTTCAGTCTATTTGAAAATACTTGAAAACACCTCTTAAGCATGTGTCTCTGGAGAACATTTTCTTTTCATTGTCCTTAAAAATTTCTAATATTAATAAATACATAAAATAAATAAAAGAGCAACCTGAGCAGTAACAGCAATGATTTTTTGGAGTCCACATCAGATTTCTTCCTGGGAAGAATCTGCCCTTTTTAAAAATGTATATTTTGATATAATGCTCTTGAAATAGAAACATGTTCTTTAATATTCCTTTCATAGCTCGTTTCCCATGATGTTGATTCCTTCCATATTGTTTATTTTCCTTTTCCTCCAACTAATATCTTTTTTTCCACAAGAGGCTAATTCTGTGTAACCGCAAGTTAACTTTCTAAAGATCTTAGAAGGGATCTGTCAAAAGCCTCTCTGCATCTTTCAACTTTTTGCTGTCAAACAAACTTGAGGAAATGAATTCATTCTTTTAGAGATTATGCATACATTTTGTCCAGCAGACAAAATAATGCCCCGTTCCATATACTGGATAGCTGCTGTACCCTCTTTACTATCTAGTAGGTATTTATTGATTTATGTAACTGATTATTTACTAATTATTAAATTAAATTTACTATTAAATCAAAGTTACTTACTACCTACTTAGTAAATATATGAAGTTATATATTAGCTGAAGTTCTTGTTACTGTGATTCTTTTTCCCTAGAGTTTATCATGCCAATTCCACAAGAGTGCAAATATAATACTGTACATCGCCCTCATTAAATGATCAGATCCCTTCAAATTATGCTTTGAAGGCCACATCTTTTCTGTCATCTACCCTACATTTGTTTTAACTTTTTCTGTGTCTACTCACATATTTTGAATGTGGGGTTAATGCACAGATACAAATATCCCCAATGCCCCCCTAGAATATTCCTTATTCACCAATTTCTGATTTTCACCTCTTCACCTCTATCCTAGGTGTGAAGGAGATAGATATTGCAGCCACTTTGGAGCACGTGAGGGACCAGAGACCAGGTGTGGTACAGACTAAGGTACGTCTCAATGCTTCCTTGCTCACAAGAATTCTATGCAGTCCTCTTGATGGAAGAGCTGAGTATTTAAGTGAATGTAGTCCAAGATAACAAATCAATGTCCTGGCTATTTGTAAATATCAAATATTATCTTTAAGTGTATCATACTAGTCTGGGGGAAAAAGGAGGCTCTCAATCAAAAAAAGAAGAGAAAAGGTGCTTTTTCCAAGAGGCAACTGGACTTTCTGGTTTTCCTATGAAAACACATCACTTTTCATCCCAGAAGCCTCTTCAGCTCGGATTGGATGGTGGGGAATGGAAGGTCAGAGCTGAAGAAGCTTCTTGGATGAGAAGCGAAACATCTTCAAAGAAAAACCAGAAAGTCCAGTTGCTTCTTGAAAAAAGCACATTTGGGACAACCATCACCTGGATGACTGAGAATCTCCATAGACATTAAGAGAGAGTGTACTTATGTTTGAAGGGTTCAAACTAAAGTTAAAAAGAAACTGCTTTTTATTTTAGCATAGTTATATAGTTATATTATTAGAGATGGTAGTGCTTCTCCCTTCTAAGAAGGGAGTACAGAAAAGGAAAAAAAAGGGAACCCAAATTCTTGGTACTCTTGACTATGCCCATGCTACTTTATAAACTTGGCTTTTGTGTTCCCAGGACCAGTTTGAATTTGCACTGACAGCCGTGGCAGAGGAAGTGAATGCCATCCTGAAGGCTCTGCCCCAATGAAGCCTCTATTCAGCATAGCCCAACTTGGTGATTCCCCAACCTGACTCTTTGCCTCTGCTGTTGCCGTGTTCTTGCCTGGGGTGTTTTCCCTTTACCATGTGTCATCTCCATGTGGTTCACCATGGCTGCATTTAATTGCCCTGTGGAAATGTTGGCCCCTTGCCTACCTGCCCAATTGGGTCTCATCCATCCAACATTTTATAACCCTCCTCATGCTGCTAAGGCCTATTCCACCCTGGTCTCTCTGGAAGCAGCCCTTGGTGGATAGAAGAGTTGGGTCCCCTTTCTAGACAGCCAGGTCACCTCTAGTATGAGAGGATGTGCCATGGAGCAATACAGGGGCTGCAGTCCAAAGGAGAGTTAGCCCCTCCTTGTGAGATGCATTAAAGACCAGTTTTCTGAAGTGCCTACTTTATGTTTACGGGCATTGGTCAAAGCAAGTAGATTTGCAATGGGAGGGCTGTGGGCCCATTTCTATTTTCTATTCAGTGTCCTGCTTAGCCCTAATGCCCACATGAATGAGTAGAAATGGTAATGCCTTAGCAGAAGCTAGGTTACGTCTATTGCCAGTTTTCATCCTTCTTCCATTCTTCTCTCTCTAAATTTTACCGCCTGATCCTGTGCCCACAGCAGGAGAAGAACCTAACACTGCTTCTGCGCTCATTGTTGTCCCATTGTTGTCGTCCTTCTCCGTTTCCTGCAGGCCTGGAGCCAAGCCTAGTCACGGCCATTTGCTCCCTTCCCTAAATGGAGGAAGGGAACATCAAGGGAGATGGCCCACAGCTGCTAATTGCTGTGTTGTCTCCCTACTTTCTCCTGGGTGTTACTTATCACAAAGAGACATTTCTAGAGAATCTAATTTTGTATTTGATGTGAATAAAGGTTTTGTGTCGCGTTTGTGCAGCTGCAGCCCAGCCTCCCCATCTTGTGTATAACCAGGCAGGAAAATGCATTGTCTCCTCATGCCAAAAGCTTTATAGATAACAACTCAGAGTGTCAGGTATTTTCCTGGAGGTAGAAGAATTAGCTCCAAAGGGATGGCATGTAAAGAAGTCAGTGACTTGCCCACGTGGTGTCAAATGGTACAGTGCTATCCCAATCCTTGTTATGTGTGCGCCTGGCAACGGGGGTGGGCATATGTACAAACACATATCTAATTTTGAAATTCTTAAAAATACAATATTTCCTGCCTTTCTGTCTGCTGCCCCTTCACACTCAGAAGGAACACCAAGTAGGTTCTGTCTATGCCTAAGCCTTTTCTGCTCACACTTTATCCCATCTAAGCACTAGCCTTGCTATCTTTTCCTGCCTCCTTGGCTTGATTCCCCACACCCCTGAAATACATAGTCAGGGACACCCATGATCTGAATAGTCATGTTATCTTGCGTCTACAGGAAAAAGTGCACCACCGTTTCAAGTAGATCCAATGAGAAAGTTGTTAACAAACCCATCGCCACCACCCCATATGCAACCATAGGATTATAACCTTGGGGAAGATACCTGTAGGGAGGAATCTGGGTGGGCGGGTAGGAGATGGCGGATGGCCTTTTGTGAAATAGGTGGATTGGCTCTGACCCTTAACTGCCAGGCTCCCTTCGAGCCCTTTTTTGCCATAGCAAGCCATGTGTTTCAAGGATACCACTTTGTTTTATGAGCATTCTGGATATTATCAGTTGATTTTTAAAAATATATATATTTAAGCTATTTCATATATTTTCACAAGTTAATTCCTCCACCTAGTTGTATTCTTTAACTATGAAGCTGTAAGTAGCTCTTAAAGTGTATCTAAAGGTAAGTGTATAGGAGACAATAACCTTAAAACACCATGGAAGCAATCTTTTAAAGTACCCCAACCCAGGTTTGATTTTATCTTCTGTTAAGAGGATAATAAATTAGAGGAGGTTTAAAAAAAAGGCCTAAATACTACTGCAATTTGATGAAATACTATGCTCATCCTGTGTGGAAGCAGGCAGGACACCAAATGGGAGAAATTGTTCTTTGAATTACCTGTCGTTTATAGCCTTTTTATCGAATTCCAGAAAGGGCAAAATAATTCCTCCCTAACCTCTTTGCAAACATTTTTGAGACAGCATTAATTGCAAATAAGTTTATTGATAAATGTCGTCCATTTTATACCAGGCCAGCACTCTGCATTACAAAAGAGATCAGATCCACTCCAAGTTACAGACATGTTGAACGGGGTTGTGTTATCTGTAGCCATTATTTCATGAGAATTTTGCTTAAAAGGGCCAGAGGGGGGTGGGGGCAGGATGAGCCACAGACCTAGCCCTTTCCTTGCTACCAAGAGAGTCCGAATTCCTCTCTTTGCAGTGACTGGTTTGGAAGAGTCCTTGCTGCTCTAAGGGAGAAACTTGATGTCCGGCCCCCGGCTTTAGAGCAGCATTGCCATGTGCTGGGACTGCAACTCCCACAGTTCTCTCATAGCAGGGCCATCGTGCTAGCTAGGAATTCTGGGAGTTCAGTTATCATTCGGTATATGATTGCGGGTTAGGGAAGGTGCTAAGGCTGCCTTTTGCACAACATGAGAGTCTACCCTGGTGCTCGAACAAAACTTTGTTTGTTCCCATTCATGTGACTCTCCAAACACAAATGGTGTTTGTCTTGAAATCCGTGTTTCCCTGGGCAGCTGAAGATGATGCTGCAGCCCATGCCTATGAAGAGTTTCTGGCTTTCTCGACCCACCACTGCCTCTCTGGACAGACCATTTAAGACTACCCACCGCTCTTCAGCCAGGCACTCTTAAGAGGGCAATGAGCACCAGTGAAGAGGGCTCACAAGTATAAAAGGCCTTGGCTCTATGGAGCAGCAAGATAGCTACTTCTACAGCAAACAGGCTGTAGCCTGCCTGAGTCAGTGAGTGCTACATGTTACGCAGCAGAAAGAACGAAGGGGGGAAAAACACACTCGGCACTTGCCAGTCCCCCCCGCAGATTCAGGGAGAGAACAGAAAGTGAAGTCCAGGCCTGAGCAGCCTTCAACGAGAGCGAATGCTGGAAAGGCAATCCCCATGGCTCTTCCAGACTCAGAACACACCTGGGGAAAGAAGCAAGGAGACAGCAGGAGGGGAAGGGAGAGAAAAATACAGATACCAAGTGAATTAGACGACAGTGAAAAGTGGGCAGCAGCCGGCAGTGTCTTAGCTATGACATATTCCCCAAAGAAAGGGAGGGCGAGTACTTTAGCATCAAGGCAGTTGTTGCAAACCCCTGAGATCATGCAAGAACCACTCTTGCAGGTTTCAACCTTGGTGTGGCAAGGGAAGAATGCATTGGAGCATGCAAAATAAGGAACGTGAGCCCCAGAAGAGTTGCTATTAATGAACTACTTGTGGTAAAGAAGATTCCCACCTTTTTCTAGTAACCCTTGTTTCTTATTGATCATAATATTTGTTCCACCAAGACACTATTGCAAAGGGAGTGGGGGTGGGTGGAAAGAAGACAGCAAGGCCTCCTCCTATTTAACATCTACATGAAGCCGCTGGGTGAGATCATACGCCGGCACGGGATTAAGTACCACCAATACGCGGACGATACGCAGTTGTATCTGTCCGCCCCATGCCAACTCAGCGAAGCAGTAGAAGTGATGTGCCAGTGCCTGGAGGCTGTTAGGGTCTGGATGGGAGTAAACAAGTTGGCACTCAATCCAGACAAGACC